TGTGTGTGTGTGTGTGTGTACTTTCTTTATACCTAAAACGAAAAATTCAGAACATCTTCCTACAAAGGTTCAGCTGACTTCTGCTTCTGGTGGGTTCAAGTTGTAATCACCATTCAGTGCTTTAGTACCTCACCGGATGGATAGCATAGCACTCTCCACCTCTCCTTTTTACTTTTTTCTTCCCTCTCTTTAACTTCTTTTTAATTTTAAGTCTCTCCTCCCTGTTTCATTCTTTTGACACTCTATGGCTCTGATGCTCTGGGCTGCCATCAAAGCTGAGTGGCTTCTGTTTGTTTTTATTGGTAGAATTCTGTGCATTAGGGGAAGCTCTGGTGGCTTAGTGGTAAGGTGTTGCACTGCCAACCCCAAAGCAGGCAGTTCGAATCCACCAGCTGCTCTGAGGGAGAAAGGTGGGCAATCTGCTTGTGTGCAGTTTACAGCCTATGCAAACCCACTGGAAGCTCTACTATGAGTTGCTACTGATTGGATAACACATAATAACAACCTTGCATCAGAGTCCTTGGGTGATGCAAATGGTAAAGCACTTGACAATTGTCAGAAAGGTTGGCTGTTCCAAAGCCCTCACAGGATCATTGGAAAACAAGCCAGGTGATTGGCTTCTGAAAGGTTCACACCCTTGGGAAGGCTGTGGAGCAGTACTGTTCTGCACACATGAGGTTACTGTGGGTCAAGATTGACTTGATGCAGCTAATAGCAACCACTGTAGCACATCCTGGACTAAGAGATACACCAGCTCATTGAATGAAAACAGCAACTTCCTGAGATGAAGTACTGAGGTGTGTGACGTGATAGGACTATTAAGTGGCAGGGCCAAGGCTTGAACCCAGAGCCCCTGACATGAACTATGGTTGATTTCATCTATAATTACCAATAACTTTACTAAGTCTATGGTGAGAGTACTTAATGGCCTTTGTGGTGACTTTAGGACTGGAATGAAGGGCAGAAGAATTGATGCCTTTGAGCTGTGGTGTTGGAGAAGAGCACCCATTATCCCATCGACTGCCAAAAGCACAGATGGGTTTGGAGAAAATGCAACCAGGGTGCTCCTTGGAAGTTTGGATGATTTGTCTCACTTTGTGCATGTTGTCAAGAGGGGTCAGTCCTTAGAAAAGTACATTGTGCTTGGAAGGGTGGAGGGTCAGTGAAAGAGATAATGCCTTTCAATAAGATTGACATAGTGACTATACTAATTGGTTCATGTATATCAGAGATGATGAGGAGGGAACAGAATCTGTTTTTACAGATGGGGTCACTATGAATCACAGTTGAATCACTGACATCTAACAACAACATGTAAGATAGAAGTTATGTTCAAATAAGCCCTAAGTTTGAATCCCTGTCTTGTCCCCTACTGGCTATGTCCCATTAGGCACACTTCTAAGCAAACCTCTTTCTTAAGCCTGATGGTTTAGTGATTAAGTCCTCAGGTGCACACACTGGGGAGGTCAGCGGGGTGAATCTACCAGCTGCTCTGCGGTCAAAGATGTGACTGGATGTTTCCATAAACATACAACCGCCGACCTCCTGGGAGGTGGGTCTACCCTACCCTCTAGTATGACTAGGAGGCAGAAGTGACTTGACAGCTTTGAGTTTGGTTTTGTTCTTTTGTCTTCAGAAAACAGAGACAAAAAAAGTCTATGTTATAGCTTCATTGTGAATATTAAATAAGAGGATGTATTTGGAACTCAAGTGCTCAGTAACTACATCGTTTTATTAGTATATCTATAGAGGAGGAAGATGCTTTTTGAAAATTTATTTTTTATTGTGAGAGGAAGTTTTCAAAGCAAACAGTTCTTGCAGTCAATCAATCCTGAACATTTTATTTTATAACATCGATTACCATGCCCACAATGTAATCATATTCCCTCCACTTCCTGGAATTCTCCTTTCCATTAATTCTTCTATCTTTTCTTGCCTTCTGAGTCTTATCATCGGGAAAGTGCTGTCCTTTTGACCTTGTCTGGCTGGTTATTCTAAGGAGTGAGTGGTTGGCTGGTGTAATTGGTCACTGTATCAGCCTGTGAATTGATTGGCTGAAAGCTGAGCCCCTTGGAGTGAGTTTTGTCCCAGGCTTTGGCCAAGAGCCATAGTCTTGGGAGTTCTTCCAATCTCTATCGAACCAGTAAGCCTGGACTTTTGATTTCCATCTCTCTGATTGCCAGTGGTTTTGTGCATTTCTTCACGTGTCTGTTGACGAGCCTAGACTTTTTTTTGTGGTTTTGAGTTTTGTTCCATATCTCCTCTCACTCTATCCAGCATCTTCTATTGTGATCCTGTTGAAAGTGATCAGCAGTAGAAGCTGGGCATCATTTGGTTCTTCTGGTCTCAGGCTTGTGGAAGTTGAGAGAAGGAATCTGCCTTTATCCTTTACAAGGAATTATAAAAACAACACCCTAGACCAAAACAAGGGAGCACTGGTGGCCTACTGGCAAGAAGCTGTGCTGCAAACCTGAAGGCACGCAGTTCAAGGGCACCAGCTGCTCCAAGGGAGAATTATGGACAATCTCCTCCTGTGCAAATAACTGCCTCTGAAAACCCACCAGAGATTCAGCTGTGGGTTGGTTCTGACTCCATGGTACACAACAACAGACCAAAGCAGCAGCACTGGTGAGTACCCTACTGGCTCTCTCTTCGCTTTTTTTCTCATCATTTTTGTGTTAGAGACATTTTTAAACATATAGAAGAACTGATTGCCCAATGTACAATATTCTGAAATTTTTATACTTCCTAACCCCAGGCTGCACACTGTTAAAAGCCTGACAGACAGCTTTTCTCACATTGTTCCAGGCCATCAAAGACTCTCAATCTTGTTCTTTATTTAAGTAGAACATCATTTTCAGATCTGTTTTTGTGTAGATCCCCAAATGTGGAGGTTTATCTACCCCTCTTTTCACCTGCTCAGATTTAAAGTATTCGTGTGTGTGTGTGTGTGTGTGTGTGTGTGTACACACCATTGAGTTGGATCCCACTGGCACAGGAGGAGATCGCCCCTCCTTCTCCAGTGGAGCATCTGTTGGATTCAAATCTCCTGCCTTTGAGATTGTAGCGCAGTTTCTTGCCACTAGGCCACAAGCGCTCCCTACGGATTTAAAAGATTCTTAAAGCATCACATCAGTGTCCAATTCTGAAGCACATATCTGTAATCGTTGCCCTTAGCAGGTTTTAATCTCTAGATCTATACTCTTTTCTTTTTTTATATATATCCATACTCTTGTTGGCAGCTTTGTATTTTTCTTTTTTACTTTTTTATTGGTTTGCTTACAAAGTTGATATACATTGTGTTTTACTCTGTTCCTCATTCACATCCTGTTTTGCATTATGTTTTGTAAAATCAATCACCATTGGACCATGCTCATCATTACCATATGTTTTCAGGTTTCAACTGGATCCTTCCCATTTCCTTCACCCACTCCCTCCACCCACCTAATTGTGCAACCCTGTGGTTTCAGAAGGACAAATACTGCATATGAGCATCATTGTAAAAATAGAAGGATAACTAGTAAAACATGTTTGGAGACCAGAGGGAGGAGGGGTTAGGAGCAGAGAGGTGAGGATGGGGAGGGGTGACACCCCAGGGTCGTATTTTTTTTTTAAAGTAGCTTTGTGTTGATGTTCTCTCTCAGCTCCCAGGACATGCAGAGATCTAGTCTATAAAGCCTGGAGCCTCCGTTTATTTATTAATGAAGTGTGAAAATGAATACTATTGATGGTTGAAATGCCAGATCAATGTTATAACGCGTCATGTGTGCTGGAGACAAATGCTATTGTTTGAGGCCATCAAGGCCATTTATTCTGACTCAGATTGACCCCGATGGCCAACAGAATGAAACAGTTGTCAGAGCCTGTGCCTCTGTCAGAACGGTGGCTGTGGTTGAGCCCATTGCTGCAGCCACTGTGTCCGTCCATCTTCTCGAGAGTCTTCGTCTTT